CCAGTATAAAAGCTTGAGGTGGCAGCTGAAACTGTTAAAAAAAAATGTTTTTAATTTAAAATGCTGTTTGTCTATGGGTCTGCAAAGATAACCACATCTCATACCTATGAGCTGCTGACTACTGGTTCGCCTCAAAAAAGATGGCCTAGCAATTTGCCTTACCTCATATGGAACCCAAGCATTCAGTGCTATATTAGAAGCTGAATTCAAAGGATTTCCTTTTAATTCAAGCAAACAGACATTTATTAAAATTACTTTTCTGAGAAACATTTTTATGTGCGTTATAAACAAGAACACTTTTAACATTAAAAAATTTGAACTTTAAAAATATGTAAAATGTTCAAGAAATGTAAACAGGAATTTTTATCTCATTTTCCATATGGTTATGTAAGCACCTTAAATATCAACACAGATCACAGACAACCCCATTTACATTCACAAGAATTTTCTAAATAAGAACTAATTAATTAAAAAATTGTTTCCAAAATTAAATGTTATGTTTTGGCAGCTAAAGTCACACTTGTAATCAAGACTGAAGGGTAATGTGTGCTACATTTAAGTAAAAATGTCCACATAATTGAAGTTTCATGTGCTTTTTCCTTAAGAAGCAACTTTAAAATGTTTATATTTAACATTTCCTGTAGATACTTTCCAACAGGTTTCTCCAGCTTTTTATATCTTTAGATATGAAACATGAGATCAGATTTCCTTGATGACTATTGTTAGCATTATAAATATCCATAATTGTTCAGCAGTTCCTTTGAATTTTTTTCTTCCTTCTTCCTCAGTGATTACGTGGTTTTATATATCTATATCTATATATATATATATTGATATTTCAAAGATTTATTTTATTCATTTGAAAGTCAGAGTTACCAAAATAGAGAGGAAGAGATAGAGAGATCTTCCATTCGCTAGTTCACTCCCCAAATGGCTACAATGACTGAAGCCAAGAGTCAGGAGCTTCTTCTGGGTCTTCCGTGTGGATGCAGGGGCCCAAGGATTTGGGCCATCTTCTATTGCTTTCCCAGGCTCATTAGCAGGGAGTTTTATCAGAAGTAGAACAGACAGGACTCAAACCAGCACCCATATAGTATGCTGGCTTTGCAGGCAGCAGTTCAACCCATTACACCACAACAACAGCCCCAATTACTTGTTTATAGAAATGTATGAATTTAATATCTGCCCTGTATACCTACATCAACTCCAACATGGCTGATTACCTAACAGGCAAACAACCTGGATTGTTATAAATATTTAAGTAAAAATCAATTATTTTCTTAATGAGATTTTACAAAATAAGTGAGTACAGAGGGCAAAGTTGTAATATTTATGTGACAATTATTTTAGGTAATCAGAGCTCCATTAGGTTTCTGTTCTGTATTTTTAAAGATTATTTGAAAGGCAGAGAGAGTAAGAGAAAGAGACTTATGTTCTATCCATTGGTTCATTCCTCAGATGCTCACAAGATCTGGGACTGGGCCAGGCCAAAGCCAAGAACTCCATGCAGGTCTTGGATACGGGTGGTAGGAACCCAAGTACATGGGCCATCACCTGTTGTCTCCCACATACATTAGCATGAAGCTGGGCTGGAGGAGCTGGAACTCAAACCAGGCACTCCCATATGGGATGCAGAACCTCCAAGTGGCAATCTAACCTGCTGCACCTCTATGCCCACCTGTTGTATGGTTTTTGTTAAATTTTTGAAATGGATAATGTTTCAGGCTTACAAATACTTTTCTAACAGCTTTCAAAATAAAAAAGTATGATTGGTTTTTAAATTTTTATTTGAGAGGCAAAAGGACAAGAGACAGAGAAGTAGAGACAGAGTCATAATAGAGAATTCCCAGCTGCTGGTTCACTCTCCAATGCCTGCAAAGGCCAATGCAGGGCCAGGGCTAGAGCTGGAACTTGATCCAGGTCTCCCATATGGGTGGCAGGAAGTCAATTATTTCATCTGTCACTGTTGCCTTCCAGGGTCTGCATTGGCAGGACATGGGAGTCAGGATCCAGAGTCAGCAACCAATATGAAGTAATCTGATGTCAGATATAGGCACCCTAACTGGCATCCCAAACATTAGGTTATTTATCCCTACAATGTGATTTTTAATTAAATAAGCCATCTTTTGTACATTAGAACTGAATATATAATTTTAGGTTTTTTGGTCTGCACTTTAAAGAATACCTGAATGTGATAAAAGCTTAGTTTTTCAGCCAAAATCATTTTAAATATTTTGAATAAAAATATACTTAATATAGATTTGAAAAAGTTATATACAGTATTGATTTCCTCAGACTGAAACAAAACAACATTTGTCCTCTGACAATTCAGGAGGTCAGAAGTCTGAAATTAAGATGTCACAGCAGGGGTTGATTCCTTCTACAGACCTGGAGGGACAACCTGTTCTGTGCCTTCCTCCGGGCTTCTGGTTGGTGAGGGCAATCTTTGGCCTTCCACGCTTGCAGCTGTATCTCTCCCATCTTTTCTTCTATCTTCACATAGTCTTCTCTCACATGTATGTGCAAGCTCCCATACATGATCATTTTCCTTCTAAAGACACTAATCATTGGATTGAAGGTCTACCATATTCCAGTATGACTTTATGTTAACTTCATTATATCTGCAAAGACCCTATTTCCAAATAAGGTCACATTTACAGGTACCAGGGGATGGGATTTGAATGTATCTTTTGGGGGACACATTTCAATCTGCTATTTGTGTGTACACATTAAAAATTTAACATGAATCATGGATTACAAGATACAAAATTATATAAAAACACCCTCTTGATACATGATTTTACAGATATGGAGGAAACAATTTCCAATCAATTTTTAAATAGCACCCTCTTAAAAGTAAAAATTTTAATGTCTTACTTAGAAAAAGCATGTAATGTTTCAAGTCAAAGAATGGAGTTCCAACACCAGGAAACTATTTTAGCTATTCTCTCTTGATCCTATGTGAACATCCTAATTAGAACTAACCCTCATAATTACTTTTATATTAATAGCATTATAAGGTAAATGTTCTTCTATCTGGGTTTTATCTCTCTGCTATAAATTGTACTGCTACCTCATATCATGCCCCTTGCATTATCAATTATTGGAGACACTTCTTAGAAATTGGGGCCATGAGTAATTGGGAAAAGCATCTGATAGACGGGGGAAATTTTTTACCTTCCCCTGCAAGGCTGGATCTCTCTAATTTGGCTGTGAAAACACTGATAGGAGATGACTCTACTTCATTGAGTTTTGTTTTTGTTTTTTTTGTTTGTTTGTTTTTTTGAAAGCTGGTGTAAAAAGCTATGTAGCAGGCAAAGGAATTCCAACAGAGGGGTAGCTGGCTTATTTTTAGATTTTTGTCTGATGTCTTGCAAAGAACAAAGTGCATTTACCCTTATTAACATGAGCTGAGCAATATTCTCTGTTCTCACTGGTAGCTACTGACACCCTAAAATGAAGGAAAACTTTACATTTGGGTGAATATACTTCTCTTCATATACTTCTGAGTTCAGCACAAATTGGCAATCCCAGATCCACTGAGAAATCCAGCTTGAGTCATTTTTCACTCTTTATAGTGGTCTGATTTATGTCAGAAGATTGTTTTTATAGATATCAGATTGCCTTTCTCACAAGCCTTTTTAATTTGCACCATTATCTGGTGATAATGGTGTAATGGGCCTGTGTCTTCTGAAAAATAAAATGTGTGCTTTGCCACAAAACACTCAAGACTTCATGGATTGAGGGGAAGCTCTACTGGATGCTATTAATGGGATGGTAGCTGACAAAAATGTCAAAGATGTAAGTTATTGTTCCAGTCTACTTGAAACCTTAGAATATGTTCCCCCAGTCACCCTATTAATGGAGATATATTATCTCTCTGAGAATTTCCTGTCAAACTCTGTTAAGTAAATAAAGGATAGGTGAAATATCAGAAACAGAGCTAACAAATGGAGCTGAGTCCTCCATTTGAAAGAAGAGAGCCAGCTGTTTACTGTGCTAATTCGAAACAAAATGAGAATGTATGTTTTTCATCTGTGTGGAATATAATTTTCAAACATGGGCTGAAAACTGGCTTTGGAGAAGACTTTTTTTTTGAAAGATACATTTAGTGGTCTGGTTTTCATGTGACAAATGTGACTAGTCCCCAACATAAGACAAATATCTGTTTGAGCCTTGCATATTGCCTCTAAGTTGAACTCAAACCACAAAGTAATGTCTGAATCATTTAGCTAGATTAGTCAGAATGTGTTAAGGTCAGAAAAAACTAATTTTTTTTTAAAATAGTGTAGGGCCTATAATTGTAGCTACTATCAGGCAGGACCCAGATACTCCATCAGGTGTCGGTGAGCAAAGCCACTCAGTTCTATGGCTCAGGTGGTCCCAACGCAGATCTTAACCAAATTCCATTTTACCCTGTGAACCCAACATACAACTGTCTTTGCATCCTGTAGGCTGGTGATTCTCAAAGGCTTATCCTCCCCACCCCACCCAGGATGCCGGAAATTTTTGGTTGTCAGAAGGGCAAGTTGCTACTGGCATTGATCAGCGAATCTGGCAAATACCCTGTAATGTTGTGGACAGCCCTCCATAGCAAAGGATTACATAGCTCCAAATGACCAGAGTGCCTCTTCAGCTGTTCTAGATCTTTTACACAAGAAATAAATCCCATAACAACAATCATTATTTTTTGAGATCAGTGTTTCCCACCTAATCTGTGGGTTGTGATATTGCTGTAAGGGCTGTGAGAATCTGTATGAATGTAAGCATTGCTCATAGATCTGAAAAAAAAAAAAAAAAACCTTACACGTATAAACGTTAATATTTTCCAAACTGTGTAGATGATCTAATAATGTACACTCATTTCAAAAATGTTACCATTGACTGTTTTTTAAATATAGATGGATGTTATCTCTACTGTCAGATGTGGGTTCATGAAATATTTTGATATCTATTTTGCAAGGGGGTCCTCCAATTTCAAAAAACATCTGCAGATCTCATTTGTTTCAGTATTTTTCCAAAGTTTTATTTTTAAAGTCAATGCTCTTAAGTTTCCACTTCTAATACTCAGTTTCTAGCCATGTTTCTCTAATAAGCTTGATTTCTGAAATAAAATCACTGGAGATCTTGTTGTTCTAGGATTTTGATTGGGTTGGCCCAAGATTCTAATTCTGTGTTGCTGACAAGCTCCCAGGAAATGTGGTGGTGGTCCCAGGTGCTCAGACTTTAGTTTGAAAATGTAGCCTCAGACACATCACTTTCTGGAAACTTACGCACTCTCTGCACCACATATCTTAAAGTGGGCACACTGTTTCAACGACCGGATCAGAGTAAAATAAGAGAAAGCAAAGCAAAGCAAAGCAAAACCGCGCTCAACTAAGGATCACTATTCACATTTTGCATCTCTAAGCGGCAGTCCTTTCGTATGACTTGATTCATTTTTCCAAGAAAGGATTACGAGACACTAAGAACCACAGATAACAACGAAATCCCAAACAGAACATTCTTAGTCCTGCTAAACCAATAGACCTTCGATTGGGTCACTTACAAACAGCAAAAATCTACTGCTCACAGTTCTGGAGGCTGTCCGCAGGGTTGGTGTCTGGAGACGGTGCTCTGCCTCAGCTGCAATCCGGATGCTGCTTGTCGCATGCTATACGATTCCCTTAGGCTTTTTTCCGTTCTCTATTTTAGTCGTCTTATCTGCCCTTCAATAACCTGGGAAAAAAAAATAGGGAAATTGGGTAACCACACGGGGCTCCCAAGAACTAAGGGTACAAGTGTGCCCATTCGACTTCCGGCCCTGGGATAGTCTCTAAGTCCCAGAATAAACTGGGAACATGGCTGTGTGCACTCCTTGGCTTCCAGACCTACAGGAGGAGAAGGACAAGGCAAGCAGAAGCCAAGACCGCAGCACACCAGCCCTTCGAGTTTCCAGAACCAGCGCTCACCAGGGCGGAGAGGCAGCTTCTGCCCTGCTCTAGCACCGGCTGCGTGTGGCTTTCTCCTCATCCTCCGCGGAACCACAGCTAGGGCTGGTGTTCGCCCGGCCCTTGAGCGTGGAGCGTGCGCGTCTGTCGCCACACTTTGACCAGCCAGTACGGCAAACTGGAGGTGCTCGAAGAGCTTTGAGGTGAAAGCACTGGGTAAAGGGCAAAAGCGGCGACGCTGGCTCAAACCTGGATCATTAAGTGCCTCGCCTGGAATTTAACAGCCCTGCGGCCATCTTGCGCCGCGCGGAGGATCCTGGGGCGGCTATGGCCGCTTTACTTGGCGTGCAAACCTTGGCTGGGGGTGGTGCTTGCAGTGGTTCTTTTGTGAAGGGACTGAGCCCTCTAGAAAGGTGCGGTGTTCAAGATCTGACCATGTCTCAAAGGCTCCGCCCATCAGTACCACCACATTAAGGGTGAAGATTTCCACCCGTGAATTTCGGGGAGACCCAGACCGTAATCCGACTCCAGACTGCAGGTTCCCCATAGCCCTGGACATGGATGGAATCTTATTCCGTTAGTCCTGGAGGATTACTTCTGCCAGCACTGCCATGGAGAGAATTCACAACTTTGTGACGTACTGGTGGGATCACTGGGTCACTTGAGCCTGTCATCTCTAGTCAGTGCCTCCAGATAACCTACACACACAGTAGTGGGTAGTTTCCTAGCACTATGAATTGGCTTGTTTTTCTGTGGTAGAATTAGGAGATTTGTGGAAGAAAGCAGGCATAAAATAGGTTCTCAATATGGGTTTGCAGATTAGGACCAATTTAAATAAAACAAGCTGGCCCTACTGGCAGTTCTGCCTTTGGCCTAGATTCTGGTACTAAATTCTGGCTAATAAAATCATTTAAAGCCTCCATTAAAGTAAGGAATACAGATATTAAATATACATGGGCAGCTAGACTTAGAAACGCTGAACTTGAGGGCTGAGAAGTCCATTTGCCCTCCAGGGAGCCCAGAGCGAACAGACCCCCCACCTAATTGGGGGCAACATCTACTCACTGTAGCCAATGGGTGTGGTTCAGGAGTGTGGGGTTTCTTGATACTCTCAGTATTTCAAGACAGAAATCAAGATTGTATGTGTGTGTGTGTGTGTGTAGTGTGGGGTTTCTTGATACTCTCAGTATTTCAAAACAGAAATCGATATTGTGTGTGTGTGTGTGTGTGTGTGAAACCTCCTAGTTTTGAAGTATGTAAACTCACTTTAAAAATTCAAACCTGTGTAGCCAAAACACAAAATGAAACCAGAAAGCGAATTTGGTTTTCAGAGCACCGGTTTTCAATCTTTGGTCTACATTAGTGGTTCTCAAAGTGTAACCCCCAGACGACCCTGTCACACCTGGGAACTTGTTGAAAATGCCTGAGCAGGGAGGTTCTGAGTCCGAATTCTGTGGGCAGGGCCCTGCACTCTGTGTGCTAATAAGCTCTCCATGAGAGTCAGCTGCAAACTCAAGTTTGACAGCTACTGGTCTAGAGCTTTTCTCGTGCACCTGCCCAATTCCTTCTTGCTGTGGCTCTTCTGTCTCCACGGACTGTGCTACAACTGTGAGTTTCCTTTCAGACAGGAGAGCTGTAGTGTGGCCTGGTTCTCTACCTTTTGTGCTGTGCCTGAGAGGCTGTCCCTCAGCCTCACCTCCTAGTACTGCCTTGGGTGTTATTTTAACCTACTTTATCTCTAGTTTTGAAAGCCTTCAACTCCTTTCAACATCTGACTGAACCACATGAAATGGCTGTTTTTGAAAAACAAAAATCCTTGAGATTGATGGCAACACATTTGATAATACTGTTATTTGTTGTACATTTGCTGTCTAACACATACATTACCTGCTTCAAAGGAATGTTTTAAGGGCTGATTAAAATCACACATGTAAATATCTAAGCCATTGCCTGGCACATAGTAAGCTCTTGGTAAATGTTAGCTATTACAATGGTCAACTTTAAAATAACAATCCAGGGGGCAAGTGTTTGACACAGCAGCTAAGATGCCACTTGGGAAGGTGCAACCCATATTGTAGTATCTAGGGTTTGAGTCCTGGCCCCACTTCTCATTCCAACTAATGCATACCCTGCGAAGCAATGGTGATGGCTTAAGTACCTGGACCCCTGCCAACCATGTGATAAACTCAGATTGAGTTCCTGACTCCTGGCCTCGGCCAGGTTCGGCCTTAGTTATTGCTGACATTTGGGGAGTGAACCAGCTGATCTTTATCTCAGCCTTTCAAATAAAATGAAAAATAAAGTAACAATCCAGCATGACAATTATTCCCCTTGGTGAGTGAACACATTGAGGTTCGAGAGTTGTCAAAGACCACATAGCTTCTAAGATCTAAGTGCAGGGTTTAAAATCCTGCATGCTTGCTCACAAACTCTGGGCTTTGTTTAATCTGCTGTATGGGCCCATGATCTGTGCTGGTGAGCAGCACTGCTGGATTTGCAGCTCCCCTCTGGACACTGCACTTTGACCTGCGGCCTCCCCGTGTCCCAGCCCTTGCCTTGTTCCCCAGTCCAGCATGTTGATGCCAAGAGTTTCTGTGTTAAGGCAGTTTGACTGCTGGATGAGGTGAGCTCCAAACAATACCCTTGGACTGATCTAAAACAGCAATTTTGATTCTATACAAAAGTAGAGGTCAAGGGAAAGTTATGCCTGAGAGGCCACGGTCCCAGATCTGATACCTTTTGGTTATATTGATGGGCTACTAATGAAAATTTCATTCCTGACCCCCGGCAGAACATTTGGGTTTCTCTGGTGGATAATTAGATTCTCTGGAGAGGACAGCCCCGGTCAGATGAGTGGCCAGCAGAGGGCAGCACAGGTAACAGTGCTGAAAGTAAGGCATTGCTCAACAACAGTGGGTGAGGGACCCACTGCCAAGGTTTGTGTCTATATAAACAATGGTGGTCCTTGGCAAGGAGGCAAGAGGGTCATGAATTTCTGACCAACCTCTGCCTACAAAGCCATGCTCCATGGCGCTGCACCACCTAGAGGAATTAGGGATCCTGCTGGTCCTGAGTAAAAGTTAAGCAGGGATGAGAAAGCAAACCACTTGAGATTTGGATGCTTCCATATGAAGAGAGAGGAAGTGTCCTATTAGACCTTTGAAGTTAGGTGGCTTGAGGGGGTGATAACATAACCTGCTGATTAAAAATATTCATTCATTCATTCAGCATTTAACAGACTTTAGCTTATAGAGAAGTTTTAGGGTTACAGAAAGATGGAATAAGAAGTGCAGAGTTCCTGGCCGGTGCCGTGGCATAGTGGGTAAAACTGTCGCCTCAAGTGCCAGCATCCCATATGGGCGCCAGTTCATGTCTCAGCTGCTCCACTTCTGATCCAGCTCTCTGCTGTGGCCTGGGAAAGCAGGGAAAGATGGCCCAGGTCCTTGGACCCTTGGACCCATGTGCGAGACCCAGAGGAAGCCCCTGCCTCCTGGCTTTGGATCGGCACAGCTCCAGCCATTACAGCCATTTGGGGAGTGAACCAACGGATAGAAGACCTCTCTCTCTCTCTCTCTCTCTCTCTCCGTAACTCTGACTTTCAAATAAATAAATCTTAAAAACAAAAAGACTACAAAAAAAAAAAAAAACCAGAGTTCTCATAAACTACTTCTCCTTCCCTCTTGTTCCTCCTCACTAGTTTCTACCGTTGTTAACATCTTGCATTAGTGTGGTATATTTGTATGTTTGTTTTTAGATTTATTTATTTATTTATTGGAAAATCAGAGTTACACAGAGAGAAGGAGAAATACAGATAGAGATCATCCATCAACAGGATCACTCCCCAAATGGTGGCAATGGCCGGGGCTGGGCCAGGCTGAAGCCAGGAAGTAGGAGCCAGGAGCTTCATCCAGATCTCCCACATGAGTGACAGGGGCCGAGTACCTGGACTGTCTTCTACTGCTTTTCCCAGCCCTTTAGCAGGGAGCTGAATTGGAAGTTGAGTAGCCCAGACAGGAACTGGCACCCAGACGGGATGCCAGTATTGCAGGCGGTGGCTTTACCTGCTATGCCACAACACCAGCCGTGGTATATTTGTTTTAATTGAGCCAATATTGATACATTATTATTAATTAAAATCTATAATTGATATTAGCTTCCATGGTTTATATGGTAGTCTATAGGCTTCCACAAATGTGTAGTGACATGTATAGGCCATTCTAGTGTCACACAGTAGAGTTTCATTGCCTTCAAAAATCCCTGTGCTCCATCTATTCATCTCTTCCTATCTCCCCTCAATTGCTGGCAACCACTTACCTTTTTATTGTCCCCAAAGTTTATTTTCCCCCAAATGTCATCTGGTTGAAATCACAAAGCATATAGTCTAGTCAGAGGGCTTGCCCAGTCATACGGACTGGGGTTCAGAGCTTTAACAACAGGACAATGTATTCCTTCCTCTCCAAAAACTAGCATGCTAGAAGGATCTTGCTTTGTGTGGCCACCTAGCCCCAGGTCCAATCCCTTCTCTAATCCATTGGCTGAGGCAACCACCACTGAAAACTTTTTACTCCTCTCCTTAGAGGTTCCCAGTGAAGTAAGATAGGGAAACCACTGTACTGAAACCAGACAGACATCCTCTTAATCCACTGATCAGTCAGTTTCACCAGAAATGGGGCAACACATGATTCCAGGACACCAGATGGGATGTTCCAAGAAGAATCCAGGTCTACTTCCGTAATATTCTTGCTGAATCAGAACTACCTGAATCGAATTCTGTGGAGTCATTAGCAAACCCAAATTGAGGGACATTCTACCAAATTACTGGCCTGCTATCTTCAGAATCATCCAAGCCATGAGAATCAAGGAATTACTGCTGGGAGAAGGCAAAAGAGAAATGACAACACAAGCAAGGCATGATTTGGACAGTATTAATTTCCCAATTTCCATCTTTGTATGATGGTTAGGTAGAAAAATGTTCTTGTTTGTGGGAAAGACACTCTAAAGTATTAGAGATGATCAGGCTTCATGTCAGCAACTTAATCTTTGAAATGTTTTTGCAACACTGTTCTAAGTTTGAAGCTGTTTCCAAACTGAAAAATATTCCAGATAGCATCCAATGGCTGCATTCTTTTCTGTAATGCCTTTGGCCCTCCGTAATATGACTCTGGTCTCCCAGCCCTGCTTCCTCCCCATTGCTCCACTGGCTGCTGCTCACTCTTCACCCTTCTAGGGGAGGGCCTCTCCATTCAGAAATGCCTCCTGCAGTCAAAAATTCCTCCCGGGCCCCATGTTTGCCACCAGCCTACTTGTTAGTCCAAGTCCAGGGACAATCTAACCGTCTTGTTCCGGTAGTCCTCCCATCGCAGCAACCCCCTCTCTTTCCCTTTTTCTCATCAGTTGGATTGTTAACTTCCAACACCCAATTTAGCATTTCACTGTACAAAGATGTCTGTTGCCTGCCAACTCAAATGTACCCTCCTGGGAAGCAGCATTCATTTCAGATACTTCTGCAAACACCTTCCTCGTAGTATGTATGCAATAAACACGTACTTGCTGACTGATCGGATCTCCATTGTTATGAAATAAAAATCTATTTACAATTCATTTCTCTATGGAGAAACTCAGCACTTTATTAATACAAAGGACTTCCATTCCTCCCAGCCTTGACTGAAAATTTAAAACACGTGGCAATGAAGGCTACAGAGCCAACTTTCTCAAGCCCAAGAAAACCTCAGTTGGAGCCTCTGAACTCTTCTCAAATAAATTGCTTTCACTCTGTGTTAATCTGCAGCTTCTTGCATTTTTCAACTCATCTTTCTCATTGGCTGAATCTCCTTAGTAACCTTTATACAGTGCTGTGTGTTCTGCAAATACAGAATCT